TGGTATCAGCATATCTGAGGTTGCTGATGTTTTACTCAAAAAATTTAATTTCACTCTCTTTTAGTCCAGAAAATTTGTTTCTTCCATGTAGCAATTATTTCAGTTTTGTAGTTACATATAACATAACTTTAAAAGAACTTTAAGAAGCATGAGAGCTTGTGGAAAAGAAAGGAAATTATGTCCCTGCACTTGCATCTGAGAGACAGCTTCATCCACCTCATAGGGTCATCTTGCCTTCTGTAGCCTTTGGGCTGCAGTGACATGTGTTGCCTAGCCCTACCTTAAACATACTTCGAAAGGAGCTTCTGTGGTTTGTTTAGTATCATCATTAATACAAGTACAGCCACCTGGATTCATTCACAATATATACAAAGTGCAAACAACTTCACACAGGGCATGACAGCATAGAACAAGTGGGTAGTGCCAAAATCTTCGTGGAACAGATGGATATTAAGGCAGAATTCATATGATTTAAGGGAAGGATCAATATATGGGTGTTCTAGGAAGCAGGTTCACCCATTAAGAAAAATATAGAACAGTTTGGCACAAGGATTACAGAAATAGTTGTAAATTAATAGAATACAAACAATACAGTACTGCCAAATCTAGGCTGTAAAAATCCAGTTGACCAGCAGATTGCAGGAAAGAGTTAAATATTTTAAGTGAACTATCACAACTTGAGAGGCTTTTCAAGGAGCGATTAATTCCGTATATTATGTTGATTTTTATGTAGCTAGTTTAAAGATAAAGAATTTAACACATTTTTCTGCCACTTGTCATAGTTCATATTCTATACTGGAGCAGTGGCCCCCAATCTTTTGGGGACTAGGGACGAGTTCTGTGGAGAGAGATTTTTCTACAGACCAGAGGGGGCGTGGTTTCGGGTGCTGCCTGCATCCCGCGGATGGGACTTCGCTTGTTTGCGCGGCCCAGTTTCTGGCATGCTGCTGATCCACAGACTAGGGGTTGGGGACTCCTGTACTAAGGTATATAACAATTTTTATACAATTTAAAATGCAAGAAAATGTATTATATAGAGAAAGAACCATGGAAATTTACCTATTATTATCTAAAGAGAAGAGAAAATACTTTTTATTTTTTTAAGCAGTAAAAAAAGAATTGCAAACATGTCTGCAAAAACTTTTAAATGTGGTTTATAAGGTGTTTCTGTAAACGGAAGAATTAAAAAATTAAAAGCAAGAAATGGTTTAATTTCCCACCCTCAAGTGGGAACAACGATTCATTGTGGTCTGTTGCTATTCTAATGTTAGTATTTAAAATGAGTAGGTTGCATCTTGATTTTTCACTCTCAGCAGAAATCCCCACCCACCATTCATGTGCGGGTTCAGTGATGACCTTTGTAAGCTTGGCTTTGTCAAAGTTTGGCTTTGTTAGGTGATACTTTACAGTTCTGGGAAGAAATTATGGAAAAGTCTCTTCTAACCTTCCCTTCTGGAGCCCTGCAGATATACTGGAATATAATTTCCAGGATTCTCAGCCACTAGAAGGTGATTTTGGTGCATCAAATTTATCCTAAATGTTTATTGCAATTATGGTATGTTACTTATGAAGTGACTATAGTTTAGTAGATTTAACACCTAATTCTCGCAATTGATAGAACCATACAAAATACAATGACTTTTTTGCCTAATGTGTATGTATATTAAACCATAGGGTATGGCTGCAGTATTATTATTTATCCCCTTTATTATTTTTTTACTTCTCCCTTTTTTGGATGTATACATTAGTATCAACATTATTATTATTATTATTATAACATTATTATTACATTATATTGTTCCCAAGTGCACTGAGTCCTTCTGTACCCAACACAGATTTCTTGTGTATCTAATCACACTTGGCCAAATAAATAAAGTATATAAGTATTTTTTTTCCCACTTACCTATCAATGTGCTGAATTCTGGATCAAGTCCAATTCCCTTGAGATTTAGGCAGTTGTCAATTAAAAATAAATGCATCAATTACACATGCATACTTGACACATATTAGTAATGCCAGTAATTTCTAGCAATGCTATACTAATAATGTGTTAAACTTGTATGTTGCCCAATTATCAACAATGTTGGGTGGTTCACAACAATCAAAGAAATTATGAATGACAGAAGCCAATACTGGTGGAATTATGTTTCCCTAGTTTAAAGTGAAGCAGATTGAAAATCATAGAATCATTCCCTCAGATAGAAAGAAGTGACATGACCATTTTTCGCACTTTAGCAACAGAAATTTTGGGTTCAATTGTAGTCATAAGTTGCGGATTACATGTATAGAGTTTGGGAATTTATAGAAATACCTTACTATAGATCTGAGATAATCACCTACATTCAATGTGATTAATATATTTTTGTTCATTCATGAATTATTCCAACAGATGTTATACAAAATATTACTACACTCAAGAGTAGATATACTGTAATATATATTTTGTTTGGCATAGCATTTATAACAAGCTTCATTATACAATTACATAAGAATATGGACAGAGATATGTTCCCATTATATTTAGACATGTTGTATTATATATTAATAGGGGAAAAATTCTCCAAATACATGTTAATTAGGGTCAGGTTGCTTAAACTTTGAAGAGCAAATGGACAGAAGGTATACAGTACATGACTGCAGATATCCCTGCTGAAAAGCATGACTGTATTATTTGCTAATTTTCAAATACAGCTTGGGAGGGTTTGCTCACATGTTGAATTCTTTTTAGTAACATGAAAACAGTCTTTGCTCTTTCCCTTTCTTTGATCCCTCTCTTCCTCTTTTCCTTAGGATTCATGTCCACATTTGTAACAGAATAACAGAATTGGAAAGGAATCTTGGAGGTCATCTAGTGCAATCCCCTGCTCAGGCTGGAAACCTATACCTTTTCAGACAAATGGTTGTCCAATCTCTTTTTATGACTATCACAGCATCCCTCAATTTTATTGCCTCTAATTCAGTTTCCCCCAGCTGCCTATCTCTACCCTTTTGATCACCCTGCACTCCACCTGACTACCTCCCCTTGCTGCCCATAGCTGACTTTCACCTTCTTCTTCCTCCTCCTACTGCTGGCCTGGGATCCAGGGGCTGGGTTAGAGGGATGGATCCAATGATTGTGGCTGAGTAGTGGAGCCTTGTCTACTGAAGATGGTGTAAAAGGCATGGCCAGCAGGGGGCAGCAGCACAGAATAACAAAATTAGGAGAGACCTTGGAGCTCTTCTAGAACTCCAGTGGTCCCCAACCTTTCTGGCTTTGCGGACTGGCGGAAGCAACAGGACCGGGAGAGGGGATGGTTCCGCACTAGCAGCAGGCGAGCACAAGTAGAGCTTCACTCATGAGCTTGTACTAGGCTGCAGGTTGGGGACCCTTGTTCTAGTCCAATCCCCTGCTCAAGCAAGAACCCCTATACCATTTCAGACAAGTTGTGGTCCTATTCCTTCTTAAAAACCTCCAGTATTGGAACACCCACAACTTCTGGAGCAAATTGTTCCACTGATTAATTGTTCTAATTGTCAGAACATTTCTCCTAAGTTCTAAGTTGTTCTCTTCTTGATTAGTTTCCACCCATGGCTTCTTGTCCTATTTTCAGGTGCTTTGGAGAATAGGTTGACTCCCTCTTCTCTGTGGCAGCTCCTGAGATATTGGAACACTGCTATCATATCACCCCTAGTTCTTCTTTTCATTAAACTAGACATACCCAATTCCTGCAACCATTTTAGCCTCCAATCCCCTAATCATCTTTGTTCTTTTCTGCACTCTTTCTAGAGTTTCAACATCTTTTTTTATATTGTGATGACCAAAACTGGATGCAATATTCCACATTTTTATCAAGGCATTATAAAGTGGTAATAACACTTCATGTGAGCTATGGAGGAGGCAGGACAGCAGTGCAGGTGGAGGAGCCCTATCTTCCACCACCAGCATGAGGAGTGATAGCTTATAGACCATGGAGAGTGCAGCAAAATAGACCAGTGAGGGCCAGGGAAGGGCAGTGGTGGTAGTTCCTCCGGTAAATGTCACAGTTGTGTGGGAAGTGCTCCCAATTCCCTTAGCTGGCCCAGATGATACCATAATTGATGGTGTCAACGGAGAGATCAGGGAGGGCTTGGACATATACACCACACCTGTTTGAAGCCTGCCAGTAATTCATAAGTCTGACCAGTGTTGTGTCAGTATTATAAGCTGGCCTGTAATTTTTTTTCTTTATCCAGTGATGGTCTAGATGTCTCTTATGCCACTTAATTTCTCAGAGTCTGGAGATTCTCTGGGATCCACATACATGTCTTGGCTCCAACCAAAGGGGCAAATGTCCATGTAGCAGGCTGGTAAGTGGCAGATGCAGTGCATGTAATCATATGTAAGGCTTAAAGAGGTGCTAGGAATGAAGCACAAACTGGGGAGAGGGCTTGGCAGAAGATGCAATGATGGGGAAGTGAGGGATCACTGCAGGGAAAGTGTTGGAGTAACAGTGTAGTGAGATTGCAGCAAGGCATTGAACTGAGCACACATGAGCAAAGTGCTTGGTTGAACAGGTGGTGGCAGAGGAAGGGCCTGCCATCGATGAATATGTTGGTGTAGCAATAGCACTTAGACATATACCACTTCACAGCGCTTTACAGCCCTCTCTAAGTGGTTTACAGAGCAGCATATTGCCCCCAGCAATTTGATTCCTCATTTTATTGACCTTGGAAGGATGGAAGGCTTAATTAGTTGTCAGTTGGCAAAATTAGCCTGCAATACTGCTTACCATGGTATAGCACTAGCAGACCCAATTCACCCACAATTTAGATTTTAGTCCTTAGGCCGTGACCAAATCCATATAGGCATGATCTGATCCACGACCATTGTCTTCTGCTCATTCTAAACAACGTTTAAGGCCTCAGTTGAGCTATGCAACAAAGCTTCAGGGACAACCCTCTAGATTCCCACAGCCCCCATCCCCCATCAAGTGCCTGGGTGACCAAATAGGTATTTTCTCCCTGCATCAATGGATAACCACAGAAAACTTCTTTTTTATATATATAAAATTTTATTCGGTTTTCCATATATTAAAAACATCTTTTTTTCAGTGAACAGCATGATTCCAGGTTATCACATATCCATACAAACATGACTTTAGTTTCATACTCATCTTTCACATTTAAATTCATCTGCCGTCATCAGGCTTGTGTATTGGGTTTGTCTGTGTGTCAGGCTTTCACAGCCACTTCTGTTTTAAATTTGGTGCTAGCTTTGTACTGTGCCAGAATGGTTTTTTCTTCATCCTGATTGGTTGGGAGTCTTGGTCTATGTTTATTGGTCTTGGAGTTTGCTGTGTTTTGCTTGATTGGTGTTTCTAATATCTTCTGTCTGTTTTGTAGCGTTTTTTTTTCTTGATTGGCTGGCAACATTGTGTTTCATGTATTGGGGGCTTTTAGTGCAACTTGGCTTCGGGTGAATGTCCGGCTATCGTTTATTAGGAAGCTAGGTTTCATCTGGGTGCCTGGTTGGGGTGTGTTTGGGCTAGAGGTAGTGGGGTTGTTTGTGCCCAGGTGTTTGCTTGGCTTGTGGTGTGGATATTTTTTTGTTTGTGAGTGCAGGCTTACAGATAATTGACAGTCTGGTGGAGTCATCTCTTCTATTCATGCTTTCAGGTCTTTTTTCAATCTCTGTGGCTTCTCTGATAACCCCAGCTACAGAATTATCATAACATCCACAACTTTAGATCATGTTATTACAATTCCAAGACAAAACCCAGATCTAGTATGTGATCTAGGACATCAATAACCTCGGTTTAATCCATGATATCTATGACATTCCAAGCTGCCTCTGGTTTTGAGTCCAGAGAAGACAGTTTAAAGTTCCCTAGAATCATAGATCTAGGGAACTCTTGGAAAAACTTGGCCACAGCATTGAGTAACTCAGATAGGCAAGTAAAGTGGTCTTTTGTAAGGTGACCAACCGTCCTCCTTTAGGGAGGACAGTCCTCCTTTTGTAAGTTCTGTCCTCCCTCAAAGAGTGTCCTCCTACATGTCCTCCTTTTTGATATTTGAAGACTAATCTGTAAATCTCCGTATTTGATCGATGACGAGGCGATCCATTGTGTATGATGTAACGTATTTGTATTTGACATGATGATTCGTCAAGGCTCGGTACAGTGCGGCGAGACACGATTATGAGATGCATGCGCTCCACACAGGAGAATTGTTCTGAGAGAGTGTGCCGTGCGCAAGTGGCTTTGTTTTTTTTCTTCAATTTATTTGTGTCTCCTTCTCATTGTAAAAAAGTTGGTCACCTTATCTTTTGAGATAAATAAGATTAAAAAAAGAGACATTGCAAGAACTACTAGAATGCTACTTCAGTGATATGGATTATAATAACAGAATCATGAAGGCCTGACAAGTGTTTCTTTTCTCCTCCTCTTATACTAAAGAGAGTTAAGGTGGGCTAATCGTAAGTTTCTTCCTGACCTCCTCCTATCTTTCCAGGATAAGCTGACGTGTTTGTAACAGTTGTCATATACTTTCTTCTCTACTACTTTGCACTAACGCATTTCAACCTTAAGACTCACTTCACAAACAGGATTTCAACCTTAAGGCTCACTTCACAAACAGGATCTCACTTCCATTGTCTCTGGGGCAGTATCCCTGGAAGCCACCACTTTTGGGGGATGACTATAGCCATTTTCTGCCTCTACACCCTGATGCCAAATCCAGATGAGAATATTTCCAAAAGAGGACCTCCTTTCTCCTCCAAATCAGCTTTAGTGATATATATCAGATGGGTTTTGTCATCCAATGATAAGATGATAAAGGACCAACCTGGTATGTCTTACCAAAACTGGTATGATATCTTGGGTAAAATGAGGAATGAGGAAGGCATTATTATATAAATAAGGAAAATAAATGAATGAGGTAGGCATTATTACAGGCTGGCTTTGTGTTTTGTAACAGCAGCTGGAGGCCAGAGCTAGTGAAATGCTGATGACTAGGCCTTGGGGCTAAGCATAGGGGCTAGAACACTGCACTGCAACCAAGCATTGTGACTGCTCTTTCCCCAAGAGCGCCCCATCTACCCTATTTCATACCCATCACCACGGTAATGTTACTGTCTATTTTCTTCCTCATAATTCCTACCCCCCTCTAACCCTTCCTTTCCCTTCAAAAGGGGACTTGCACTATTCCAAACTAGAGTGGTATTTATTTAACACAGAGGCCGGCAATTCCAGATGATTCTAGATGACTTACATTTTTTAAAAAAATATTTTTTTTTAAAAAAAAATCATAAGCATGCAAAAGGTAAACATCTGACAGGGTTTCAATCAGTACTCTATCCCAAGGCCTGAGAGAACAGCTGAATTTTCAATCACTTTCTGAATATCAGTGTGGGGGGGAAAGCATATGGCTCTCTGGCGGGATGCTGTGGCCAGTGGGCTCTTGGGTGGGGGATGCTATGACCAACGACACACATCCAAAATAGCTGACTGTATCTGGCACCAGGATGATTCAGCAAATCATTCAGCAGCCAAAACTGTGGTTCAGCTGGGCCAGTTTACTGCTCACATCCATACATATACTATCCCATGAACAAGAACAAGGAAGAAGAAGGGACAAGTGACTCCAGCCCACACCCAACTTTTCCAAACAAAGATCACTAGTTCAATCCTATTTACTGCTTCAGAGATAATGATATAACAAACCTGGGTTTTTGATTGTATATTTTTTCTATGGAGGGGCATTGTCTTTAGTTTGGGTCATCCAAAATTTATCTAGCATACTTCAAATCACTTTCCATTGCTTTGAAGTAACCTGCTCTCTTCTATGTAGAGACTCACAGCTTCTGATTCCAGTTTCTATAGGTTAAATCGGAAGCAAGAACTAAAGAGTTACGCAGCTGTGAAATGAAATGAGATCAAACCTTACATTTTCTGCTTCCGTATTTCTCAGGTGAAGGGAGTTTCTAAAGGATTGACTTCTCAGCAAAATGTCTGCACAGACACACGAGACCTGTATCTTTTACCACAAACCACAGTATGAAACTTATGAGAGCTGTGTGACATAATTACAATCTGGGGGATGTATGCAAATATGCCAGCTTCAGAGCTTTGCTTTGGATTTCTGTCAATCTCTTGGTTTTAGCATCAGATTTTCAGAGTTTCATTTGCAGTTTCTGTAATAAGTAAAACATAGTTTTAAAAATACAATAAAAAGACAAAGCAGAGGTTGCAGGGGAGAGGATTCTATCTCCTGACTTTTAATGTTATTACCGATATATTGCCACAATGGCCTTTTGGTAAAGCTGTGTTTTTGAATATTGTACAAATCACATTCCCACATGCTGAAGGTAGAGTCTCTTTTGTATTGTCCACAAATCACAATTTCATCATGACAGTTGATTTCCATGTTTTTGGTTGAGTGCTGAATCCAGAGTTTGAAATTGTTTACATTATTTCTTTACAGTTAAGAGAACTGATGACCATTAAGGCAAAGGCAGACTTGAATGAAAAGTAATTCTCCCACTTCCATAATATTAGCCATGGTGGCGCAGTGGTTAGAATGCAATACTGAAGGCTGCTTCTGCTGACTGCTAGCTGCCAGCAGTTTGGCAGTTTGATTCTCACTGACTCAAGGTCTACTCAGCCTTCCATCCTTCCGAGATGGGTAAAATGAGGACCCAGATAGTTGGGGGCAGTATGTTGACTCTGTAAACCGCTTAGAGATGGCTGTAAAGCACAGTGAAGCGGTATAAAGTGCTATTGCTATTAGTTTAAATAGGGATATTTTTTAATAAATGAAACAGGAAAATAATCCTTGAAATGAGCTCTTTCTATTTCTTTTCTATTTCTTTTCCCCCATAATCACCTCCATTTGCTGTATACTTCTATCAACGATGGGCAAATTTTTTAAAACAAGAACTCCCCACTTTGTCTTTTCAGTCAGGCTCTTTCTATATCTTTATTTAAATCAAACCAATGCCCATGAAGATATTTTTTTAATTTCAGGAAAAGATAGAAATTGCATGGTACCAAGTGTGGACCTCTGACAGATAGGGTAAGATAGCGATATGCAACTTCACAATTGCCTCTTGGATGGCTTATCAGGTTTGAAGCCTAGTCAGCCTTGCAGCAAAAATTCTTCTTGTGTTTAATTTTGTTTTAAAGTTTTCAGGGTTATGCTCTGAGTTGCTACTTGTGCCAGGTTCGGAAAATTGGTGTAAATAATACCATCTGCATCCGAAAAACCCCTTCAGTTTTGAATGTTTGTTTCACGTGCCGATTTGTGAAGGGACTGATACTTTGGTTTTGGTCGCTACAATGACCCTATGTTTCATTGGCTGTCACAATGAACAACTTCTTCACCTTCATTCTTGTTGTATAATAACAATTGTTGACAAATTTCAACACTTGAAGCTTTCATCTTTGCATTCAGCATGCAAGGAACTATCTTGCTAAAGATTTCTGTTGTTGAGGAACATCTGTAATATGACCCACAAATTCCTGTGAAATGCCAAACTTGTCAGCAATTTCCCTTAGAATGATCCACTGATTTTCTCTAATCAGTTCATCAAGTATTTCTTCTATTAAAATAGTTGGTTGTTATCACAAGTTGTCCATTTCATTCTCAATCATACACATCAGCTCTTCCCAGAATGAACTTCCCAGTTCATTGCTTTAACTGTATTTTTATGCAGCAATGCACAGTATTCATGACATCACCATAAATAATCTACATTTCGTGGTGAATTTCAGTTGAAGAGACTTCTTCAGCAGTCAATTCAATCACAGCATGTTGCTAAAAGTGCACCAATGTGTACCCACTGCAGGCTTCCCTTTCATGAAGAGTAGCAGTGCAACTTTTTTCACAGCAACTCACCTTTTTTCATAGCAAATTTCCACCAAGAAATGAAAGAACAGATGTTAAAGAACCTGTTACAGCTTCTATCCCATCAGGACTGCCATCTATTGGTGATGTACAACATTGAAGACAGTACTTTTCATTCAATTCTCATAAATGTGAGGGAAGTGCTTTACGTACTCTCCATAAGTTTTTCTTTCACCTAGCCTATTATTAGTCTCTGTGTTTTAGAGACAAGAGTATTTCTTCTCTTTCTTTTCAAGATGTAGTTTTCTTACTGCAGTTATTATGCCTGTTCATTGATAGGTGAGCTAAATCTATATTCCGCATTATGTGCATACTGTGTTACAAATAGGACCTGCTGCTCAGTATTGTTTAGTACTCTGCATATGTTCAGGAGCACATCTTCTAACAAGGGGTAATGCTGACTTCAAACAGGATTATGGGTTGAGACCAGCTTCCAAGCTATGAACTCCTGGGTAATCTGCAGTTAAGGATTACCAAAATAAGCACAGAAATCCGAGGACTAGCGTGGCAAAATGCCCAGTTAGGATTTTCAATTGATTTTTTTCAATTTTGACACCTGGCAAATTGCAAAATGCAGCTGAATGAGATAACATACCTCTTACTTTATTTTAAATTTCAAAAGCCAGGATTGGGAAAAAATGTCTCCTGTATGTTCTTGGAAACTTTTGGAAAATGGTTCTAGAAACCGAAAATCTCCCCGTAGATAAGAGGCAAAGATCTTGGGAGGCCAGGAACAGAAAAGCCTGAGTACATATTTATGTAAATGGAAATGGCGATATGCTTATTCATATCAAGGAACTGACAACTGTGAGTGAGGTTTGGGACTAATTAAAAAAACTTACCAGTAAAATCTCTGTAAATCCCATTGTTCCATCTGCTTAATGAAAAACAATGTGCTATTTAAGATGGCACAAGCATCTCAGACTATGTGAACCAAATGCTTGATCCAAGTAGAACTGTTTTAAAATAATGTGTATTGCAAGATGAAATTATATAGAAGTTGCTTTCCTTGTGATGTCTATGTCCCAATGTTTTGATATGCTGAAGCAAGCCATAGGAAAGCCTACTTTGGATCAGATAATATCCAAAATAAAGTGCAGGAATCTGAGATAATTTGAAAACTGGAGAAAAATCCTGTTTTATTTGCAACAGCAGATTACAGTTGAGGATATTTTGCCTTTGTCTAGCCAGCCTTTACAGATGTGAATTGGAGAGAGTTCAAGCCAAAATCAAGGGTTTTTCTCTCAAAGGAAGGAAAAATCGTCAGGATAGGAAAAGGGTAAAGAAGAGAACAGAGCTAAATCCAAAGGGCAAAAAATAATGCATTCTGTGAAAGAATTGTTCAGAGTAAGAAAAATACTGGTGGTCTGAATTCAGTTTATTTACATAGAGGAGCAACTTCTTTGTTGTTTTAAAATAAGGATTCTTTGTGACTCTTGAAACAAGCTGCAAAGGGTAGATACGGGAATAAACAGACAGGAAATAAGCTCACAAGAGATTAGAAAGGCTAATAAAATGTAGACTGATGAAAAGACAATTGCTTTACACGTTGCACTGTAGTCTCCAGATCTGAGCTCCAAATGATTGAGTGTTAATTATGCAGTCAGAAAGATACACAGAGTTTAATTTGCTGATGGAAATTGCTCAATAAGAACAAGAGATGTGGATATTGTTGTGGAAAGGAATATTGTTAGAATCTAAACTTTTCAGAGTAATTCTCTGATAAGAGGCAACCAACTGAGCTTGAAAAGGAGGAGAGAGAAATTGCATTGAACGTTGGCGTAGAAAACTAGAACATCAGAATATAGAGCAAATCAGGCAGATGCAGAGGGAAGAATTAACCATCAGTTTCAAAATTATGCACAACAAATGTGCCAATCTATGCTGCCCTGTACGTTTATATAGTAAATGTCTTTAAGAAGCACACACATAAAAAATACTGAGAGCACAGGAAATACTGCACCTCAGCAGTATTCTGAATAAACAAATCCACACTGACCACTTTTGAGCTGTCGTGGCGCAGTGGTTAGAGTACTGCAGGCTGCTTCTGCTGACTGCCGACTTCCAGAAGTTTGGCAGTTCAGTTCTTAGCAGGTTCAAGGTTGATTCAGCCTTCCATCCTTCCAAAGTCAGTAAAGGAGGACCCAGATT